AACCCCAAAACCCCAAAACCCCAATTAATAGAAACACAGGCTCGAGAATAAGGAATCAATATCGAACAAATAATTACAGTGTACTAATAATTTAATTTTTTCTAGAATTATCTGTCAATTTATATGGAAAGTGAAAAATAGCAAAAAGATAGTGACTCCTACATGGAGGATCAAAGTGAAGAGTCGTCATCTCTACAAGATTAAGTTGAAGAGGAAAAAGAGGAGATATCTTATAGACTTGTCAAAAGAAGATATTACTGCTACTTGTGTTAAAAGGAATATAACAAGATGGTTTCAGCTGTCGAAAATCTCACTTGTGATGTGTGCAATGAGGGCTTTTGTGAGATTATTGATAAACCACAATCAACTCAATTGAATTAAGGATAAAGCATTCCAAGTGATGAAGCAGATGAGGAAAGGAGAAGAGCAAACGAGCAGTATAGAATTGTATTTGATAGAAACTAAAATACTCACAATAGACTAGACATCAATAACAGATCAACATCAAACATCTATGGAGAACCGAGGAATTAGGAGCGATCAAGTCGCTAAAATGAGGAAGAAGAAAAATATGTAGGTTTCTAACAAAGATAACATGAAATTCAAAGTCATTAGCAAGACTAATAGCCAAGAGGATAGTACCTTCATGATTCAGGTGTAGATAGGGCATTCCTCAGATGGAATCCATTTAGGGGCACAGCTGGATCTAACTTTATGGGGCAATTTTTCTCCAACTCACCATTCTTTGCTGGATTCCCAGATCAAAGACCAAGATAAATGTCTGCCTAGGATAGAGTATTCAGAGATCCTTTCGGACCATCAATGTTGAACATGGACCAATTTTTCGGATCATTTATCAGACCATTCAGCTTTGGAAGAATCTTTGATGATGATGCGTTCCTCAACTATGGATTTGAGGAGGGTTTCAACCCAAATGTATTTGCGACTAATTTCTCTCAAAACTTCAGATCATTCAATGACATGGACAGCATTCTTCAACGAGTAGTGGAGATGACAGCTCACTAGCATTAGGAAAGGAGGAGACCTACTAAATAGGAAGCTATTGACAGGATTCCAGTTGTTACAATCTCAGATATTCATTGTAAGAAAACTGAGGGATCCTAAGAACTTGAGCATCCACTTTGCACAGTTTGCTAAGAGAATATGGCATTAGGTACGAAGGCTATGATCATGCCTTGCGGTCATATCTTTCATCCTGACTGTGTGCTGCCTTGGTTGAAGGAACATAATACTTGTCCTGTGTGCAGGTTTGAGTTACCCACTGAATCTTAATGATTTATCTTGCTTATCTTATATATGTATATATTAAATTTAATTGAATTTTAAAGAACTTCTAAGAATATTTACCTCAGTTAAGTCAATAATGCTTCTTAACGGGGTTTTGGGGTTTTGGGGTTTTGGGG